AGATTAGGGCATAAAAACCAAGCCAGCAAAAACTAAAAGCTATGGCGCACGAGTCTACCCACTGCTCTAACCCTAGATCTCTAGGTGTTTCTATCTAAGGTCATATCCTCGTTAAGATCATGAAGTCATAAGTCATGTCTAATCGCTTCCATCCAACTCTTCCGAGGTCTACGTCTACCCCCATCTCACTCCCAGTACCGCAAGCCTCTCGTATCTCCTTGCAGGGGCCTCAACACCCCTCCTTCTAACGTGGACAAACCACCTCAGTCGAGCTTCTCGCAACTACTCCTCTATAGGAACCACTCCCGCCCTTCCCAGATAACCTTGTTCTGGATCTTATCCATTCTTGTATGACCACATATCCACCTCAGCATCTGCATCTCTGCCACTTGGAGCTGACAAACATTTTTCTTCACCACCCAGCACTTTCCTCTGTATACCATAGCTGGTCTGACCACTGCCCAAAAGATGTCACAAATGTTCCTATGTTGATGTATAGGCAATTAGGCATACAACCCAACATCCCAACTAATATATGGATTATTTATCAAGGATTACTTCATATTATTATGGTAGATTGAATCTTCCAATTACACACATCAACTAAAAGCACATAGCTTATTTGCTTGAAGAATAACATAATGAAGGAAGTAGATCATACTCTGTACATAACATAATTCCTCGTGACACTTAGATAGAGCAAGGAACTGAAGAAACTCCTGATGTTTCTGGTTCTTCTCAATTAACTGGGTAGACACGACAGATACAGATACAATTTCAGCACCCCGTGTTGTTGTCCAATGTTTGGCAAGAGTATCTACAATTGATTTACTCGTCCTTGCAAATACATTTGTCTCCCCATCTCTTTCAAATGCACCTGAATGTTTCAGCTTATCAAATACTCCATCAACCTGCCCAGATAAGAGAAAATCATGAAAAAGCTGATTCAGCAAAGCTTCTGACTCTTCATCTTGAGCAGTTCGCCGTGCAATTGCATTTAAACTAGACCTTTTTCTATCTCCATCATCCAATAATTCAGAGCTGTCCCTTTTAGCAATATTACCCGCAAACCATAAGCTTTTTTTCTCTTCCTGAAACGACCTTTCACTAGAGCTACCTTTGCGTGACAAACTTCTCTCAGGTGGCTCAACTCCACCAAGTTTAACAGCTTTCTCAGGAATGGCCCAAACTCCAACCTTCTCAGTGAGAACAGCCCATGCCCCTTCTCCATCATCATCAGAAGGGAAAACTGAAGCATCAATAACTTTTCCGGCATCATATGGAAGATCAAATTGGTAAAGCCTGGTGGAATTTCCCTGATTATGTGAGACTGTTGCAGTACCATCACCGGAAAGTATAATCACTGAACCAGCTGGTTTGCCCCCAATTTTCAATCTCATAGAGAACAAAAAATCTTCATCCTCTACTCTCGCTTTAGGTATTATCACTTGTGGGGGAGCTTGCTTCTCCAAAACCCTTTTATGTGTTGGCTGAACACATTCTGAGTAGACATCAACTCCAGATTTAAATTGCATTGTTAGTAGCGAATATTCAGTGTAACTTGAACTGTTAACCCGGTCCTTGCAAAAGATTGCGATAAGAATGGTAATAACCTTTCCCTCATTATCAACTTGCAAATCAAGAGGCCATATACGCTTCTGGCCAGCCAAATCCTTCTGGATTCCCAGATCACTGTCAGTACCAATTATTTCATGAGACCAGATCTTTGAGACCATATGATTGGGAGAAGGTTCAATTGAAAAGCACTGAATTTCACGGTCTGTTAACAAAAGAAATTGTTTGTTAGGTTTATCAGAACGCGGCAGAAAATGCCAGACCAATGACCTTGGATACCCCTGGCCTCCAACAAAGTAGCCACCATCTTCTTCTTGAGATATATTCTGATAAATCCTTTTGCGTTGGACACCAGTAGAGCTGCATAGATATTGCCAAAGCTCACCACTAGAGCTGCAAGCAAGGGCAACACATGCACGATTTTGACGGCCCTCTGGTATAGCAGAAGAAATCAAAGAATTTATGGTGCTTAATGTTGAACTGCCGCTATGCTTATTTGTCTTCTTCAGGTTATATGACGTGGCATTAGTATATACAGGAGAGAGAGTCACTCCCACATCCTCATGATCATCATAACTAACAATTGGCTGAGTCACAGCATCAGAGAATATGTCTGACCAGTATAAAAGAGTTCGACTTTTTT